TCAGTTTGTGCGTGCGTGCGCGTATGCATGCATGCATTAATTTTTGTTCGTACATGCATTTATGTAAAACGCTTAAAGCTGTGTTCACATGGGAGTGGGCGCTATCGAAACGATCTATATTATTATTATTATCATTATCAGTATTATTATTATTGTTGTTGTTGTAGTTGTTATTCTGAATTAGTTCCAGCCCCACGTTGTTAACCTTTTAGGACCCATGTATTGACTTAGCTCCAACCTCACGTTGTTGACTTTGGAAAATCCGTATCACGATTTAGCCCCTACCCCGTGTTGTTAACCTATTAGAACTTGTATAATATTGACCTAGCACCAACCCCACGTTGTTAACCCTTTAGAACTTTATCTTGATGGAGTAAAGTTGTACAATGACTTAGCTCCAACCTCACGTTTTTGACCCTTTAGAGCCTTATCTTGACTTCGCTCCAACCCCACGTTGGTGATTCAGTAGAACTCATCTTACTTGTCCTACTTGTCCACTGTGTTGGGGTCACTGCAGTCGGCACATGTTCATCTCTGCTCTCCCCTCCTCTTCAGGATCTATCCCAGAGTCTGTCTGCTTATAGTCTCCATCATAATCTGGTTGGGGATCCGTCGGACTGGTCCGCACAGATGGCTGTGTTTCCCCTCTCCTCTTTGGATCCCCTTCTCCAGCAATCTACCTAGAGTGTGGGAACCGCTATCCGCCCTATTCTTCCTCAAATTTTCCGTTACAGCGGTTAGGACGGTTGGTGGGTCCAGTGTCAAATTCCCTCCCACTTTTGCTTCTCCAGCCAGCTTGTCTGCTCTCTCATTGCCGTCCAGGCTTGCCCTCAAGAAGCACCCAACTCATATCTTGAATTAGCTCTAACCCCATCTTCACTTAGCTACAATCCCATCTTCACTTAGCTCCAATCCCACGTCGTTGACCTATTCGAACTTGTATCGTGTCTTAACTCCGACTCCGTGTCTTGTTATTGACCTTTTAGAACTCATATCTTGACTTTGGTCCAACCCAGTCGTGACCTAGATTTGATCTCATGTTGACTCTTTAGAACTTGCATCTTGACTGAACTCCAACCCCACGTTGTTGACCCTTTGGAACTCGTATCAAATATAATATGTATACACAGACTGAACTGCCAATATGTTTTTCTGTCCGTTTAAAGAACAGTTCAAGAATGTGAAAAAGTGAATTTCTGTAATATTTGGATTATCATAATCTTTTTTGTGTGCCTTTCCTTTGAACTGCAGGGGAGCTTTCAGGATTCTTAGTATAAAATTGAAACTCCGCAAAATCTCCTTTTGTACATCAAGCTGAAATATAATATGTATATTTTAATATATTTAATAAATTTATAGTGTGGAATCTATCTTACTGGTCTTCTTTATTGTTGTACGTTTCATTGGTAAGTTTTTCATGTTTATTCTCTTTTTATCGAGGGTGTTTGTTGGGCGCTTCTCGAGGGCCATTCTTTTCTTTCTCACTGCTATTTCTGTCTGCTACCTGTCTTACTTTTCATCTGCTCTAAAATGGCCATTGCATTTCAAAGTGCTTTATTCTTCTCTTACCTCAAAATGAAAGTCATGTTTTCATTGTCATCATCATCAGTATTTACTACTGGTGGTTTTCTTTTGTCATCTATCTTTTCTTCGCTATTTTTGGGCCAATTCGTTGGTGCATGTTGTACTTAGATGTCATATTTATAGGTTCATCTTCATCTTGTGCTCTCTTTACTCATGCTCTCATGCTAAATAAGATTACTAAAGTTTGTGGTGTAGAAGTCAGTCTCTTCGAGGTGGCAAACAGAGGAATTGAGTTTGGTTTCTGAATGGGAAGGTTGTTTTTTTTTTTTTCGCAAATCTTATATATATTATCCCTGTCTGCCTGCTGGACTTGCGTCTGGACCAAAGCAGCCTTTCCCACAAAAGATCAAAGTCGAGTACCGAACGCGGAAGACCTGAGTTTGATTCCCAAATGGGGAGAGTTTTCATCCCGTATTACGGTCTTTCTGCTAGGACATCCTATCCCTCTCAAACCGAGTCTGCCCTGGCAGACAGGGACAAAGCCCGCTTCCGAAATGATTTAAACTGGATTGATTTGGGGTGGGGGTG